AAACAAAATGGCCGCCAGTCGGGCCATTTCGAACTTGATCCGAAAAAAAAATGGCGTGCATCAAGGTCTATATGTTTAATGTATGTACCAAATTGAATGAAATCCGTCCATGCATAACTGAGATCCAGGTCCGGAATGGTGAAAATGTGCGATTTCAATGCATTTTCGGCTTAAAGCGGCCGCCATTTGGCTATCGTTAATGAGATCATGAAACAAATGCACATACATATTTGTGACATGATGTACCTTGTGTGTGTGAAGTTTGAACTCGATCAATCCAAGCATGTCTCAGATACGGATCCAGAACTGAATTTTTTAAAACAAAATGGCCGCCAGTCGGCCATTTCGAACCCGATCCCCCCAAAAAAAATGACGTGCAGCAAGGTCCTATTATGTTTAATGTATGTACCAAATTTGAACAAAATCCGTCCATGCATAACTGAGATCCGGGTCCGGAATGGTGAAAATGTGTGATTTTGATGCATTTTCGGCCTTAAAATGGCCGCTTTTCGACTATCGTTAATCGGATCATGAAAAAAATGCATGTGCATATGTCCCATATAATGTGTGATGTATGAGTGAAGTTTGAACTTAATTGGTCCATGCATGTTCGAGATACAGGTGATCACAGGACGCACGGACGGACGGACGCACACAGGGCAAAACATAAGTCCCCGTTTTCGGACTGCGTCCGAACGGGGACTAATAAAATTAAATTCGCCATAATTGCAACAATAGACGTACTACTATACTTCCCCTCTTATAAGCCCAGGGGCCTCAACATGTAAAATCTGGCAAAGTAAGGAGTGGGCATATACGCAAAGACCACCCCAGAAAAGATGATTTTTTGTTATTCGTTTAACATTGTAACCATCTTACCACTCACGAAAATTTATTCAAATTACATCTTTCGTTCACCATGCTTGGCTTAGGGGAATATGTTTTTTTTGAAGAAACAAGTCGTCATTGATTTCCACAACACTTTTTTCAATTATGAAACATGGCAACTAATTATTAAGCTCTGATAAAAATTTTGCTTCGGGACAACAACTTATGCACCATGTACATGTATGACATCTAAGCTATTGGCAATAAAACTTCTGACCCAGATATTTTGCAGAAACCAGAATGTTGCAGTTACTTCATGCATCAATCATTGTCAATAGTTAATGGTTATGCTACAACAATTCATTTTTAGATCACTAGGTTTCTTACCACCACATTTGTATTTGACACACTTTGCTGATAAGGCTGTGCCGGATATGGCTGAGCCGGGTATGGCTGAGCCGGGTATTGTTGGTCTGTATATGGTGGCTGATGTTGTTGTTGTTGTTGAGGAAACTGCTGGCCATATGGCGGCGGAGCATCAGCCGGGGCATTGTATGGAGGTTGAGTCATATCTGAAAAGAAAAAATGTGTATTTATTACAGACTTCTATATTTAGTCTTCACATTGAATGTCTTCAAATCAACAAACCATGGAAATATCTAGCAGTGCATTTAGTAACATGTAAGTACATATATACCCTTCTACAAGCATTGTACTTTAAATGTCCTTAAAATAGAAGCCTATTCATAATTTTTGAGAAAGTTGTCATAAATCGCATGACAGTGTTCATTGGTCTATAAAGTAAAATCATGAAGCTATTGTCCTACGGCACTATGAAATGGCATTCTTTGTGTGTTACAGTGACGTATTTTGAGAACATTTTCCAACATTTCCCCAAAATGCTATTTTTACAACAATTCCATAGAGCACAATGTAGTACTGCATCATGAATAATATATGATTTTTTTCAGCCTAATGTCACCAGGTGACAAGTTGAGATATGGCACAATATTTATGCCAAAGGAACCTATAACGGTAGTCAAAGTGATATAATACTGTAAAATGACTAATTTTCACTGGGTTTAAATTTCACTGATTTACCATTTCAGGCATATTCAATGGGTTTTAAATTCACGGTTTTGTCATTTAGATAATGTGTTCTATGCTCAATTTTACATATTCACTGGGTCTTAATTTAGTGCATTTTCCACTCAGCGAAATACATGTAAGCTAAATTAAAACCCAGTGAATAATTAACTTCTTTACAGTGCTGTCAAAATGGCCACTATCCACTAAAATACAACAATAGTTTTTGAAAATTAAGCTGGTGACCCCAACTTAAGTCAATATCCTTTTTATATCCGGAAGTACAATTTATTGGAAAATGAATAAATCCTGGGTATTTGCATTCATGAAACAATACGTACTGCACCCTCAAGTGGCGAATATTTCCATGCTTTTGTTTTATTTATTTTCATCACCATTAATTCTCAGTAGCAGGATATGTATTGTACAACATGTTGACTCTGGGCATACATGACTGAGACCCAGTTCTAAAATTACAGATATGCTTAATTTTGATGAACTTTTCACACTGAAATGAGCGCCATTCAACCATCTTAAATTTTCATGAAATGAATGCATGTGACATGCATGCATGCATGCGTGCGTGACATGATCGGTCAGGGCATGTCAGATATAGATACTGAATGCACACACTTACAAACCATTGTGTTGCACCAGTAACACCCTGATCTACTACATTTCTGTGACTTTTCCTTCCCATGACATATTTGCAGCGATTTTTTTTTTATGTGAATTTGTTTATAGCCAGTGTATAAAATTTACACACCCACACTTACAATGTATGAAACTATTTTTAACTCTGTGACTTAAAATAAGATAAATTCAAGGTGTCAGAAATAAACTATACATGTGTACATTGTTCATTTATCACAAGCTCAGGGAAGCATAACAACAAGCAGCCTATCGGCTGAGATAGCTCCGCTGTTAGCAATGCACATTTCAATTAAAGAACTGAAGACATCATTAGAAAATGAACAATATGTATAGTATCAAAGCAATCGGACTTACAGCTTTTAACAAGAAGTCGAAAATATCACTTTCTACCAAAAATGACAAAAATATTCACCAAAATTAGAGAATTGAAGATATCATCACAAAATGAACAAATCTGAGAAAGGTCTACATGTAGTATCTATATATGTAATATCAAAGCAATTGAACTTTTGGTTTTTAACAAGAAGTCGAAAATATCACTTTTTACCAAAAATGACAAAAATATTCACCAAAATTAGAGAATTGAAGATATCATCACAAAATAAACAAATCTGA